ACGTGGCTGTGAACTTTCTCTCTCTGTATGCCGAGATCCGGCGCCGACCTACTGTGGGCTAGTGGGGGTTTCCCTAACCAGGTATCTCTCACTAGAGGGGCACCCCTGCATCTGGGTCAAGCTCTAGGCTCCCGACCGGTCTCCCAGTATGTGTAGTGCGTGTTACTGTAAAAGTGTGTGTAAGGGAGAGGATAAGACAAGGAAGATGGAGGAAAGATCGCGCGCAACCCGTGGCCCGTTCGTTAGGGTACTGCTCCGGCATCCGCCTGGTGTTGATCGGAGAAACCACGAAAACTACCGATCAGAGCAGCCGGCCGCTAGAATTCTCCTCCAGGCGGCAATGAATTCGACCTAGCTGACGTGTCGAAAATCCTCCCACCTTCAGGACTCGAACCTAGGACCTCCCGGTCAGAGACACTACAGTGACATCAGTTGATGCCCTGAGCAATCTCTCAGGGTGAGAGTGGTCGGGAAATGGGAGGCGAAACGTGTGGTGGCCACGTGGATTGGCTACGTGGTGTGAATAGAAATGAACATATGCTAGAACATGTAAAAGTGCGTCATCCCCGGAGACCCTGGATAGTACAATAGCCGATGGATTGGACGGTGATTGTGGAGGGAAAAGCACTTTAATTGCACGGCATATATTACGAATGTATCCAAACGGCGAAAGAGATTCCCACAGTGTAGAGCAGCGCGGGAATGGTGGAAGATGGAGGGGGAAATGGCGGCAAGATGATGCAACGGCCCCATCCCCCCGAGAGGAGAAAGACCGATGTTATCACCCACGAAGATCCCACCGAAAACTCTGGCCGTACTGGATAAACATTGTTACAATCAGTGGTCCTCGGGAGAGGAGCGTTAAGGTCAGAGGAGGTAATATTGTGGAATGATTTCAATACCGGGGAGGGGATGATGGTATGTACAAAGATTGACCAGAAATAGTGAGCCAAATTTGTGGTGTGTTAGAATATTTCGTGTGTAACAATTAAGCAGTATTATAAAAACTGCTGCTGGTACACCCTGGAGCGTTCGCGGGCTGTCGAGCCGAGAACATGCTCACTGATTATAAATACTATTAAGCATTGGTGCGTGTTGTTCATATGTGAAGCCATAAGTAATTATATGTGAATTACTGTACACTAATGTTAGATTGGAATTCATGATGATTGTGAGGTATTTTGTATCATGTAGGGCGAGCTCGTAACTGATTAGAAAATTGAAATGTAATTTATTTGATGCACGTTAGTCAATGATCAGGGATTATTTGCGTAGGGTGAAATATTTATTTCTATATGCAATCTCAATTTTATTTCTGCATTATATTTCTTCTTTTTGGGCTCCGATTTTTGTGTATTAATTAATAAATTTCTATTGCTATAAAAAGGAGTGATACCAATTATATATCCACTCAACCTCACATAGGGTTTCTACCCCAAAAATGATTCCTTCTCCTTTTATATCTCAAAACAAGTTTATTATTTTTTTCTCAAGTTGGACTCAAGGAGTGTGTTGGGTTACAATACAAAGAAGAATTTCAAACTAAATTTGACGGCCTTGATCCTTGGGACACTAGATGTGGATAGCTGCAATTTCCTGAGAGGAGCAATAGTTTATTTATTTATTTCCACGTTAAAGTGAAATAAGAGCTTTGAAACAAATAAATTATATTTTTGCGTTTAGTATATGAATTGCGTTATAAACTGCGTCCCATGATTACTGAAATAAGTAGTCCGTATATCATTTTATTTTAGCTAATAAATGAATTACACATGCGTATATTATTTATTACGTCATTGTTCATGTTATTAGTAATTGCAAGAATTTGTGCATCGTGGTCACTGTAACCTAGATCATTCATTATTATTTCATTTCTAGTTGTGGTTTTGTTAATTATGATTTGATATTTTGCTTTTTAGGATTTAAATGTGTTCCGTGTATTTATATTCACAATAATAGCATAGTTAAAAGAATGAAGTGAAATGAAAAACTGTTATTTCTCGCGAGGTTCAACATTGAAACATAATCAACATTGAAATTTCCACATACAACAATGGATTCAAAAGACCGATTACTAATTTTGTTCAGATGTATCTCTAAATTTTCTAAAAAACTGAAGTAATCTAAAGTTCCCTTTGTTGGGGTCTGTTTATGAAAAAGTAAGATAATTTTATGCTTACTAAGATGTACGACTGTTATTTTAAGAACATTTCCAACTGCATATAAATTGAATACTGATAAAAAGGTAGAATCAATATAATTTCCTATGGAAATACGCACAATCTATATACGCAGGGTCCTTATTTGATTCCCTGGTTGTAGACGACGATTCTGCAAGATAAAATCTCGGAATTAAGATTGTGTTTAGTTCATTTTGAGATAACGAATGTTCTGTAACACAAAAAAATGTTTGTCTACATCGGTATTTTTCTTCTTCGTCTGACTGTAGGTGTTATATTTCTCATTTTTACCCCGAGTGCGTGGTTGAAGGAAGTATCGTGTCCCAGCAGTGACAAGATGTGAGGTAAGTAGTGCAACAGATGAAGAGGGAGATGTAGCACTAGGATTAGAATCAGGGGTTAACGTAATTGAGTTTAAAATGGTATCAGAGGATGGACGAGAACTAGAAAATATGGGCGGGGATGGGTCTTGGGCAGGACACTGCCGAAGATGTGATAGATGTGCGTTACAAGATCGCAACCGAGTGCATGCTTTCCGACACGGTAAAGGTGTACCTCTCAGATGCAGTTACAGTTGGTGAAATGAAGTCATAGTCTTCCGCGTCCGGAGTCATGTAAATGATATTGGTTGTCCGGGTGAACCCAGCCCTGAAGAAAACCATGATAAGATGTTCGAAACGTCGGCAACACAGCCTTCGACGCGGCCTCACCCGGACAGCCCAGATCATTTACAGTTTCAGTTAGTTGTTTGCGTGTCTAATTTCATTGCACTGTGTTAGTTTATTGTATCAGAATGGCAGTGTTGAGACCATAATTTTCAGGTTTTGGACGGCATATTGTAGTTTGTCATCATGCTGATCAGGATGTCAACCAAAACTAATATAATTCTGCGCGCTTATGATAATGACTGTATTCAGTTTTTGGTGATCGGTTTTAGTGTGAGTGTCCAACTCCCTGGTCACGGCGGCAAACCTCTTACATTCAAACACCGTGACATAGAAATTGATGGGGTTTCCCACTGAGCAGGGAGGATGATTAGTCACCCAACGGTATCTGCTAAAAGTAATACTTTTTTCATGGTCTCAGTGCAAATTACCTAGTTAATTGATGGCCTAGGGTACGCAACTCTGTGTGTATTTGTTTCTTTGCTCTTGCCAAATTTTTGGGGTTTCTTTGTGGATTGACGTGTCGATGATAAGTGGTAGCAAGGATTGGGAAGGAAAGGAAACTCTTTGTCATAATCTAATACAGAAAACCTTTTTCCGGTCGTGATTGGTAGTGGTGATTGTGCTTTTGCGAATTGTTTTTGCTTTTGTTCTTCTCCAAATCAACCATATGGCCTTACGGCTATCGATCCGAAAAGTAAGAAATGATTCCAATCAGTAGCCTTTACAAGAGGAACTACAATAACTGCTTGGTATGTACAGTTGTGGATCGTAAGAAGGGACTCACTGCACTTTTTGAAATCACTATCGAAAAGAGATCAGTAGGAATTCGAAAATTATAATGGTACCAAAGATTTTCTGTCTATCTTCGAGAACTTTGACTTTAATTACATGGTAAAACTTTTTAGCGCGATTCTCCCTCGATCTGACGTGATTTCTGAAAATGTTCAAAAGAATTTATACGACGTAGGCTTCTCGCTGAACACGATTAAATTTTTTTCTGAAGGCGTGTGGATAAAATGAGAAATTATTTAGAACATTTTTGTACAGAACTTTTGGCAAGATGTTTTCGAAGAACATTGCAATGAAAGGTAGAGAGTTCAAAAGATTTCAGAGAAGCCTAAAAGATGCAAATTGAAGGTTTTACTTTTACGTTATTGTTACTATTAAAAATACCTTAAATGAAATATTTCGAGGTATTGAAAAACTATTTTTTGCACTTTTAGACTCGACGAAGTACCAAAAATGTTCATCTAGGCTTCGCGAAGAGCAATATGCTCGTCTGAAAATGTATTATTGTCAGTATTTTAATGGTGAAAAGTAGTAGCATTCAGTCTTGTAGAAAGTCCATTTCTGGACAGAAATCTGTACAAATAATTAAATTAAATTATATGCGCAAGAACTATGCATAATTACATCACAATAAAAGAGCAGAAAATTCACAACATAAATGATAGTAATCTAGTGATGTATTTGGACTTACAAAGGCAAAGTTATCGCATTTTCACAAAAACAGTAACTTTGTATTTTGTCGGAGATAATAAAGTCGCAAATAATGTGTCCCAGGCCGATAGAGAACAAATTACTTACCGATTCAGCCAAAGTATCCAGGAACACGGGACTATTATCTAGTGTCACATTGAATTTAATATTTAGGCTATCATATTTTCCACATAAGTTTAATTCAACTGATGGAACACAAATTAATTCAAATTGCCTGAGTTGTAAGTCATCACTTGATTTCATTTTCGAGTTGATATGAAATCGATTTTGTCTGTTGCAGGAAGCTATAACAATTTTCATGATCCCTTTATTAACTCTAAAATGTAATCACACATCATTCTATTGAATTCAACGCCGTCCCGACCAAGTAACAAAATTCGAAAACCAGCCACGAATTTTCGAGCGACTGTCGGCTTGTGGATCGACAGGTATGACCTTCCTCTAAATAAAATGTAATTGAAGTCCGTTTACGCAGGCGTCACGCGTTAGCACATCAAGAGGGTAGGTGTGGGGAGGGGTGATGAGGGGTGCAGGCATTGCCGGGGGCTGGCGTGGAACGCTCGCGCGAGTCCTAGAAGGAAGCGAGGACGGGGAGAAGGGTGCGGGTTCGGGCGCGGAGCGGTCGTGGGGTTGAGTCGGAGGAGGAAGCGGAATGGCGGGCCCCGTCCCTGCGGATAGTCGGTCTGGCAAACGAGGAGCGGGTAGAGCGCGGGCCGGCGGACTGGTGAGAACTCGAGGAGCTGGAAGATTGTTCGGGGGAATCAGACGTGGAAGGAGAGGGCGGCGAGCGCTGGGCGTCTCGATGAGTCGGGGTGAAGCCAGGGGGCAGGAAGAAGCGCGGACTGGAACAGAGGAAGCAAGCGGGGGCGGGGCGGTCTGGGGGGCGGATGATCGAGGAAAGCCACTGGGCGGGGAGGGCCGCGGGCGCGGCGAGGGTGCGGCCTTCACCTTGCTGGTTTTGAAAGCCCGCTGCAATCTGACGCCGAAAACCCTCGTCAGCCCCCGGTGAGTGCGCGTTTCGCACTAAAGGCCTCTGCCGGTGCCGCCCAGGCCCGCATCGCCCTCGCCCATCCACGCCCCCGGCCCACGCCCACGCCCCCCCCCTCACCCTCCCCTCGCCCTCGCCCTGGCCTTCCCTTCGCCTTCCCCTCCCCTCGCCCTCCCCCTCGCCCTCGCCCTCGCCCTCGCCCTCGCCCTCGCCCTCGCCCTCGCCCTCGCCCTCGCCCTCGCCCTCGCCCGCACAGCCATGGAATAGTTTCTGGTTACAGAAAAACCCTCTTTTATTCCACTTCTAATCGCTCAGGTCACTGATGCCAAGGTAGTTTCCACCGGCGAGACTCCGTAGTATGTCAGTGGGAAACCTCCCGCCCCTGCTCTTGACCACATCGCCGCACGTGAGCATGGGCGAAGCGACTGTCGCGCTCATTTAAACCTCGGAATTGTCGAAAATTGCAAAACTATAGAAAGGTTTCCAAAACATTCTTAACTATTATTGCAGTTACTGAAATTTTTGTCAATTCTGATATTAATTGATTCTATTGATATGAAATCTTGAGGTTTATGCATAGGTTTTGCTCAGCTCTCCATTGGTAAGTTGCCGTACGAGCAGAGCCGGGAGAGTGAGTTGCCATTTTGTTAGCAATTATATAAAATCAAGCCTGTAGTTTCTTTACGGATGCAAATACATTTTCTATTAATGCGGAGCAAACATTTCTAGTTTTAAAATTTTGCTCTCTTCGGTTGTTAATACATCATTATCTGAGTAAAATGGCGGAGTATGAATTTTGAAACTCATAAAATCTTGTGTCAAATCATGACAATTTTACGAAAATGTATAAATACAGTTTCGTCTTCATTTATTATCAAAGTTTTTTGCATAACTATCTTGAATGAATGCGCTAAATCTCAGTCTGTAAGGATAATTTTATTAACTCACGTGTACTTTTTGGAGCATTTGGAAGTTTGAACATATACTACAGGTACATTTTGTAATTTGATGCTGCGGTGTCTATGAATGTTTCAAATTACCTCTTATGATGTAGGTACCTTGAAATGTCGAAATGCTTTGAGAGTAAATATTTCCTTTCGTCTTTGAATACTTGCAAATATTATATATTTGTTAATAAGTGTATACATAAGAGTATATTTCAGTTCGGTAGTAATGGTGGTTGTGGTGGTGGTGATGATAACATGTAAATCTGCAGTAAAGGAGGGTTGGGCTCAAGTACCACATCCGACAAACTATCTTCATATACGTTTTTAACATAGTTTGAAGAAAGGCGGGAACATATACTTCATGGTGTATGTTTTAAATGTTTGTATTTTTAATATATTATTCCTTCTAGAAGTCGTCTACGACTCAAATCTATATTCAGAAAACAAACATTTTGAAATGAGCTATGAATGAGGAGAAATTTTACTAAATTCTATTCCATATAGCTAATTTCCAACTCGCGAAGAAATTGGAAGAAAACTGCACGTTCAACCACGTGAGAAATATCCATGGCATCATTAGATACTCCGTAACTCGTAAAAATAGCAAAGACTAAAACATTTAGATTTTGACTGAAAAATGCAGATATTGATTTATTATTCCGAAAATTGTCGTCCTTTGAGAAGGGACTGGCATCTCATAATCTGTGCGTCACTGCTTACGACACAGGTTACGTCACGTGACAGGTAAGCTCCAGGGAAGAGGACATCCCCCTTTAAATATTTGCTAGTCACATGTTGCGTTCCGGCACAGCAACTGCTTTGCTATTCTTGGTATTTCGAAGACCTGTTGTACTGTATATACATTACGCTATGCTACTGCACTTTTCGTGAAAATATTTGTGTTGAAATATTTAATTTATAGAAGTGTTATATTACTTTAGCGCGCCGGGAACGTCTCTCCGCACCTCAAAGCGGGGACCACCGCCTTCGCGTCCTCCCGCAGCTGCGCTGCCGTGCGCGGCGCTAGTGTCGCGTGCATGCCGTCGTCTCGCCCCTCCCTCCACCGCTTTTTCTATCCCCTCTTTCGGACAGTTTCCGCGCTGCCTGGCTCTCGTAATACCAACATAAATTGTTTCTAACACTTCCATCAGCATGGTGTCACTGCGGAGATACTTTCCTGACTCACTGTGTATTTATTTGTTACTCTTCAGCAGTTTTTGTTAATTAAGGTCGCATCAACTTCTAGGTCATTAGAGACCATTACTGCGTGTAACGGTACGGTACCTGTGAGGATGACACGATATGATGATAATAGGGGTGAAAGGAGGAACATAATGCAACCATGCCCGAGGCGGGACTCGAATCTGCGATCCTTCGGTCCAAGATCACTACGCCACTACTACCTTAACGATCTCGGCCACCGGATCCGCTCTTCAGCAGTGTGAGTGCTAAATTTTGGAAAACCATTTATGTGGTTTTGTTCAACAGCGTGTTTGCCGCTGCACGCGAGTAATATATATTACCAATTTTTAATGCACTCAGAAAATGAAAGAAATCTCTGCAACCTCCGACCTCGTGAGAGGTTTTCTTAAGAAATTAAGAAAAATTGGGAAAAATACGAAGACTAATTTTGATAAAGGAATTTTCATTTTTGTCTCAAAAGTGAACATATTTGTTTAAATATAAATATATGAATTTAATTTCAACTTAATTAAATTAGGACACGTTCTTAACAACAAAATAGTGGTGCAACAACAGCACACATATTTCCGCGTATTTTGGAACTTGTGCAATTTTCGAAATTTCATACAGAGCAACAAAAAGTAGACTTGCGCAATTTTTAAGCTTATTTTGCCCTAACCGAGGAAAAGCAAAAGAAAAAATGTTACCCGCTTTTTGGGATTTTTGGGACCTATTCTTGACCGCAAAATAGTGGTGCAACAATAGCACATACATTTCCCAATAATTTGGAACTTCGAAATTTCGAAATTTCAAACAGAGCAACAAACAGTAGACCTTTGCCATTTTTTAAGCTTCTTTTTCCCTAACCGAGGAAAAACAAGAGATAAAAGTGACCCGTTTTGGGGATATTTTGTATAAATTACCTTTACTTCGATCGAAAATGTACGAGTAAAATATATGTTTTCCCAAAAAAGGTACACGACTTATTTTAAAGATATATTTTTAGAACATATTTTATTAAGGAACACTCACTATCATTAATTCTGTAGTTTTGGTGAACACTTTTTCAACTTCAAGTTGAAAAGAAACACAATCAAATTGATACTTAAGAACACCATATTGGGAATTCACATATTCATTTTGAGACCAGTCAATTTTAATTTGCGACTAAGCAGTTTAAAACTGAGAAAAAACAATGACGAATCGGTTACTGATTTAATATCGATTATTTAAACAGTTCCAAAACCACGAGGTGGTAAGGAGAGGATGAATATTACAAAGAAATATCGGACCTTCATGGTTAAATACATTGATGAAAATTCAAAAATTACACTGAAAGATCTAAAACCAAAAATGGAAGAAAATCATCAACGTATCGTTTTAACAGAAAGTTTGCGGAAACATTTGGATGGTTTGATGTACACACGCAAAGATATTCGTAGAGAACCCGAAAAAATGAATAGTTTTGGGTCCAAAGCAATGCGTCGTGAGAACGTACCACAATTTTTAAATTATCAAGCGCAAAACTTCTCCATTTTATACATGGATGAAACAAATTTTAATTTGTATATTTCAAGGAAGAAAGGACGATCGAAAAAAGGACTCAATGCAGCTACACAACAGCAGGATGCCGCGGTGTCCATGCCTGTCATTGGTTGCATGAGTGCTATGGGACTGATTTAACATGACATTAGAAGAGGCGCTTTTAGAAAGAAGGAAGCTACAGAATTTGTGTGCCAAAGTGTGCGAGTGGCATTAACCACGTGCAACTCGTATGCTACATTAGTAATTGATTATGCACCCCGTCACTGTGATGTGGAAAAAATATTCTTATAAGAAGTATCGCAACTGAGGCGTAATTCCTACTTCCCATTGTTTAATCCGATCGAAACTGCCTGCTCTAGCCTCAAAGCTGCTGTTAAACGAGTTATGTTGAAAAATGTCAATAAATTTTAGCTGATGAAGGCAGGGCAAATATATCGCTAACTGAGTTTCTTCTTCGTCAGAAAATATTATAAATCAAAATTATGAAGTAATAAATGCTGAAGTATTGAAATGAAATTATGAAGTAATAATTGTGTAAGATATGTTGCTTATGTGTTAAAAATTTAGCTCATTTTATAATGTAACTTATTGTTAAAATGAAAATAAACTTGGTTCTGAAAATGTGTCCACAATTTCTTAATTTTATTATATATATTTAAATTTTTAGACTCAAATTTACAATTTATTAGGTAACTTCAGATTCCAATTTGAAATTGCTTTGTCTCAATTTGAAGATGTTAGGTTTCTTTACGAGTGTGTTTAGTCTCAATTGCATTGTATTGATTGCCAATTTGAAGTTATTTGTTCTCAATCCGAGGTTGTAAATGTATAGTGTGTACTATCTACTATCGGAGGTCAGGCAATTTTTTCGTTGCCCACTCCGGCATTGTTAGGCATTTTCGATTCGGGCATCACAAATCAGCCAACGACACAAAGCTCGTAGTTTTGGTCTCTCGTTTCCGTTATTTGCGTCTTTCTTTCTGGAGAATCTGCTTACGACGGGAATTGTCGGAGAAGTTAGTTTCGCCGCTCCAATAGCCAATAATTTTTTTACGTGCCACAATCGTGAGATGACACTCTCTTAATTTTACGCCCATCGAAATTTCTCTGCCGGGAGTCTGGTTTAAAACTTTCAGAAGCATGCTCAACGCAACCCCTTAGCAGTGGTTAGAGCATCCTGATCATTGCGATGTGTGACCTACCGCTGCGTGAGGCCACGCCCCTACACGCACGCACTCTCTCGGCGCGCGTCGATGCACCTCTCGCCCCGCCCCATCATTAGTAATCAAGTATTTGTAATAATGATAATAACAATAATAATAATAATAATAATAATAATAATA